TCGCTCCTGGCAGGGAACTTGCTAACATGTGACTCAGAGGACCGACAACGGTCGAAACAGTTCCTGGACTCTTTGAAAGATGGCGCTTTTGATTTCCTGCTCTCCTTAGCTGGGGATGTTAAGCCCCTGGATTGGCACGATCCAGTGCGAGCCGGAATGCACAGATGGTTGCAGCGAAAATCTCCAAATCTGGGGCTTGATGCCATTCAATTTTCAGACTTCTTTCAACTTTGTCTCATGACTAAATTTGAGATTTTTGTCGACAGCTTCATTACAAATTTGCCTGATGTCCTGCGAAAGTTGAGAGTCGAGGAAGATGAGCAACGTCAATTGAGTCAGCTGCATGAGCAGGACTTGGATCTAGAACGGTTTCTGCTCATCATTGCTTACGCCTACGAAGGTCGGCCTACCGCGCAATTCGATTTTTGGGCCGACGGCGAGAGCAACCTCAATGGCTTCCTCCACTGGGCGTCACGAAGGGCATCTACCCCATTAGTGACTGCCTTCTGTGAAATGTTGCAGGCAATTTCAGGAGACGAGAACTGTGCTGAACAAGCCCACAAGTTCTTGCTGGAGGAGGGCCACCATTCATCTGGCAAATTGAGGAGGTTGCAATCTTTGACCTGGAACCAGATCTTCAGGGAGCTTACCTTTTTTATGGATAAAGCTAAACAGAAGCCAACTCAGTCTCAGACAGTTAGGTATCGTGGTGGCAAGCCTGCGCCTGACTTTGTTGAAACCGAACCAGAATCAGCCATGATGCTGGAGTCATATCTCCGGCTCATATCTAAACTTGCCACCGAGAGTGAAGAAACTCGAATATTTCTTCTACATAACCCGTCGTTCAATCTTGTCGAGACCATTCTGGAACTTGCAAGCACCCCGATCCCGCCAGCACTGCGTGGTTGCGCGTTCATGGCGCTCAAAGCCCTCATGGCAAGAAAAACAACCCAGGAGGGCGCCACAATGTGGAACTGTCTAGACATGTGGATAACGGGTGGTTACCTGACTTCGCCCGCCGGCACGCTCCGGCAAACTCCTTCGTCGCCTATGATGTCGATGGAGAGAACGTTTGATGAGATCAGCAGTGGTTTTGATGATCCGGAATCTTTCATCCAGTTGCTGCTCATCCTCGTGTCGCCCTCAATCGACAGCAGCCCACTAAATGATTCTCTTCCATTTCCCGAGAATCTTGGTAGTGCTTTTAGGGCCCCAGGAATCGAAGTCTACATTGACTATGTTATCGGTCTTGTCCTCGCATCCAAGACGAACGATTTGGCGGATATTAATCAGACCCGGGTATTAAGGCTAGGCTGCTTGGATTTTATGCTAACTTGCCTAGCCTCCTTCAACGAGGATCTCATTGTGATGGCAAATGACACCAGCCTCATGATTGACTCCATTATTGCAGCTTCTGACTTGGCTACATACGTGAGAATGCATCCATTTGCTCGAGTGATGGAATGGATGTACAACGAGAAGGTTCTTGCTGCGCTCTTCAGTACCATCCACCAAGAACAAATTGACATCGGGAATGCTGCCCCTGATTCCCCCCTGATCTTGGGCATTATACGAGCTGTTGAGGTCATCTCCAAAGTTTTGGACCTGCAAGCCACTTATATCAACCTCGTCAAGCCTATCATCAAACAGCAGTCGAGCCAATTGCGACAACCTGCCACTAAGCCATCCTACGCCTCATTCGAAGATGGTCTACTGACCAGACTTAATCTGGTAGTAGACCTAGGAAATTATGTTGGCATTGGACATCCAGAGTTGACTCTGTCGTGTCTCAACCTGCTTCAGAAAATGTCATCATCATCCAAAATTTCAGCCATATGGTCCGGGTCTAGTCGACAAAACCACCGAAATAAAGCCATCGTCGCGATGGAGGCCAATGGCGAGCATGAGTCGATATCCCGAGCTTTCATTTCTGAGCTCATGTCGCCCCTAGATGCCGGCCGCGAAGCCGAGTCTTCCAACTACATGACAAAAATCTACATTCTCAACTTCCTAATCGAATGTCTTCAGCAATCAAACCGAAAGCCGGCAATCGCTCATCTCATTCTAGGTTTCAAATGCGGTGTAGATTCTCTCTCCATCGAAGCTAACGGTCTATTCGACACGAGGACGTCTTTATTTCACAGCTTGCTTAAGCTACTGATGGAGACTCCCTCTGGGGATGCACAAGGCATCCGACGATGGCTCGTGGCTTTGAAAACACGTGCAATGCGCGTGTTGAGAATTCTCTGGGCAGCACCTCTCTCGTCCTCTTTCGTTATTGAGGAATTGCGTGAAAACGAGTTTCTGTTTCACCTCCTCGTCCGGGAAACCGTCATACTGCCCGGCCTTCCTTGGGAAGGCGAGAATATTGAAGAGATTGCTTTCCCAGTCACTGATGGTGCAGCTGCGTTGCTTGATTTCCTATCGTTGCGCAGCATGACTCTCGAGTATATTGCTATGGAACTGTGTATGATATCACAGGGCAGAATGCCAAGCGTCAAGCGGCGTATCTTCGAGGCACTGGGAGGTCAAGTTCTTGGGGATAATAACGAAACCCTCAAGACGCCTACAGTATTTGATCTTCTTGATTTCCAGCTCCCGGATGAGGCATGGCGAATTGGAGCCCCGGCCTTGAATTTCTACCGGAACATCGACCTCTCGATATGCTTGGAAACAGATGCCGATTCAAATTCCATTTTCAACGTGGACCAGGTGCGTGAGGTTCTGCTACTCAAACGTAATGAACCGAAATCCCAAGGTACAATCATTACAGCAGAGGAGCTCAAGGCCATTGAAAATGAGGAGGCTGAAATCATTGACTACATCGTTTCCACCAACCGCCAGAAGCAACTTGAGACGCAACGGCTCAGCGTCCTTGGAACGTGGATTAGGCTTTTACTGGTCATGGTCGAGAGTAACGACTTTAAAGGGACAGCACAGACCTCGTTCTTCTTACAGATCTTGCAGGCAGTTATGCCCAGTCTTGAGGCTTGCGCAGCAGATCGCCCCGGCGAGGCCATAGAACTTTCCAAACTAATCAAGGTTCTACTCTTTAAAGTTTACGAGTCTCTGTCAAGCAACAAGGACAAAGGCAGTGCCGCACTTGGCAACCTCATTGGCGACAAGCTGTACCAAGTGTTCCAGATATGTCTTCAAGCGATCGGGAAGTGGGCTGGTAGTGCCGAGCTACGGACGGTGTATTACGAGATCTGCTACCGATACCTGACACGCCTAGGCGATGGGGATTCCCTGAGCCAGGATCGATCGAAGACCATCAAATCGATTCAAATTTACGGTGAGAGGCTGGTCAATGTTATTTGCGATGACGCATACGGTGGTGAGCCTGCCTGTCAGACTGCCGCACTCATCCTACTTGGCACATTGGTCAATCTAGACCCGGAGCACATCGTCGATGCCCTCAACCGACTCAACTTCATTGGTGTATTCGTAGACTCCCTGCGCAACATCATGAACGAATGGCATGAAGCGTTTACAATCGGTAAGTTACATGAACCAAAACTACAAAGAAGCGTATATGAAAATTCATATCAACTGACTTGACTTTCTCGTTAGGTCTTAAAGATCAACAAAACTTCCAGAATGCTCGCCTAGCTCTGCTGCAACAACTGGCCCAAACCCGACCAGGAGCCAAGCACTTGCTGCACGCTAACCTGTTGCGCACCCTCGAGACCTCAGGCCTGTTCGCCGCCGACCCTGAACTTCAAGTTCGCAGCGACAACCCGAATGCCTTGGAGCAGCACTACGATCTTCTCAACAAGGTTGTTCGCGTGATCAGCGCCGCTCTCGTCAGCAGAGGGAGCCACAACCTGGTCCAGGGACGTAAATTCCTGACGGACCACCGCATGCTTGTTGCCCACACTCTCAAGCGCAGCGCAGGTATCGGCACAGTAGCCGAGAACAGCACGCTTTCCGTGAAGCTGGAGGACTTGGCAGATGGGCTCATGGTGATTATTTCGGCAACGGGGTTTTTGGAGGTTAGTATCAACACCCCCTACGTGACTACGGGGCTATCTCTTGTCGTCTAACGCATTTGCTAACGCTTCGTCTCTATAGTTTGAGAACGATTCGATACCAGAACCGAAGCCTCAAAACGGTTCGCTCTTCCACTAGAGAGCTTCTGGTTGACTGTGACTTGTAGCAGAGGCGGATTTATGGGGCGGAGTACAAAAAGGGGAGTCAGATAGAAAGAAGCATGTAGCGATCAACACACTGACACTTGCAACCGCTCTTCCGCTGCTTTTTTTTACTCTTTATATGTATATGCAAGGGGACAATAAATGGGCCTGTCAGTTTAGTTTTTTAATACGCCATTCTTTACCCTGGTTGGCGTTGGATATTATAGGCATAAAAGGCAAACAGAGGATGGACGCGCGCTGTTGGAAATAGGAATGTAATCTGATGTGATACATTTTATTCTTCTAAAACATGCCCTCGTCATACCGTAGACCAACTCGAAGTTGAATCTGTGAATTTCATTATATATCATACCTTACGCTATGTCCCATGTCCAGCCAGGAGCGCCTTTTGATTGAGAAGTGCCCGTTTTCCGCTATATGCAAAACTCATACACTCCGTCCAGGTCTGTGCTCTCATCCTACACATCCTTTTTTTTCCCAGCAGTTCAAGAGATCAAGCAAGTTGATGTTGCTGTTGCCGCCCGACCGCCTAAACTCCACGCCACGCCATGCCATGCCATGCCATTATCATGCAATTGAATGTTTTCACTCCCAGGTTCTATCCGAGAAGTGAGAAGGTAAGGGAATAATTAGAAAAGGGGAGGAACAAGTCCATCCCAGAGTAGAGAATCGTAATGATTCCGACAGCCAGGGTAACTCCCTGCTAGCAACGATATCCGTCCGGTGTGCCACATGTGAAGCAAGAGGTAGGTAAGATGGGGGTAAAAGAAACACGCCCCCATCTCGAAATAAATCCAGCCAATTGTTGTTCTGTGACGCTCTCAGCAAAAGAGAGCTTGGTGTCTATGAGAGGTTGCCAGCTTTGCGCTTCCCCTTGCGCGTTGAGGTCATCAACTTGAGCTCGAGAGGCCAGAAGCCCTTCACCTTACTATTGTACAAGTCGCGGCTTCTCATATCGACTTTTTGTCTGCACATTGGGCATTTGCCTTTGGTTGCTTCTACAGTGAGGGATGAATGGAGGCACTGGGCGCAGTACATGTGACCTAGGTGAAGTCAGTGTATGTTTGGGTACGATGGTTGCAAGGGAGATGGGAGGCTTACCGCAGTGCGTCAGGGTCAAGACGGAAGCATCATCCATACAGATCACGCATTGGAAAGCAGACAGCTTAATCCTTTTGTCTTCCTCCTTGGGAACAGGGGCGATGTCTATCAGGTCGTCTGGCAACTCGTTGTTGGTCTCGGTCAGATCAATCATAAACGGGGTGTTGTCGTCCGCATCGAAAATGTCGGTCCCCGCACTCTCGGACTCAGCAAACGAACCCTCGATTTTTGGCGTCGGGACAGGGTTCAAATTGTTCCTTCCTGTGTCGCCGACGCGTCGACGCTTGACACGGCCACAGGGTGGTGGCAAGTAATCATCGATGGTTATGGGTGCAGCTTGTGGGCGCCTGGTAGAATTGGGCATGTCGACGGATGTAAACGAGGATTGAGCTGTGTGGGAGAGGTCTTCGGGCTCGGCGCCGAACGATTCGAGTGAGTCGAAATATGGGCCAGTGATTGATGCACCTGAGGATGAGGTGAGGTTCGACGTGTTGTTCGAGGTTAAGCTTGTGTTGAGTCGTGCAGCCGGAACTGAGTTAGATGTGGAAGCAATGTGAGATTGAGGAGGAAGGTGCTGCTGATCTGGAGCAGAGACCCAGCCAAAGGGCTGGAAATTATGGTCGGCCAGCGAGACAAAGAGGGAGTCTTCGCTTGAAGGTAGATTCCCGAGAAGTTCGAAAGCATCGGATGACCAGCCAAAGTCCTGTGCATAGGCGAAGGAATCTTCTGGGCGGAGGTTGGGCAGTGTCACCTCAGCCTGGTTGTACGCAGAGGCAGGGGAGTCGAGGAGGAGGTCGGCCGGCTGCGCTGTGTTCCTAGACGTCGAGGCGGTCGAGTAGTGTCGTGGCGAGGACGGTCTGTCGGCGGGGGTGAAGGGGGGCTCCAGAACTGTGCGCTGATTATTCGGAGTGCTGGGCCCGGTTGCACCTCGCGCCTGCGGTGACTGGTGGTGATGGTGATGGAGGTGCGAGTGGTTGTGCAGTTGATCCGTGCAGAATGGACCGCACGGTGCGGCGAACGAGGACATCTGATCTATCTGTAGGTTAAGTTGTCGAACTTGTCGACGCCGAGCTGGTGGCAGGGCAACGCAGCCACGAGCACGAGGGGATGGCGAGAGCGGTGCCAGAGGCCGTTGACGATGGCTTGTCTGGTCCAGATCGAGGCTCGCTTCAAACAATCAAGCAACTGGGCAAGCAGTCAGCACGTGCTGCCTGCCGCTGAGGGCGGGTTGAGCGTTGGTTGAGGAGCGGCAGAGGCACTAACAGATGATCACTGCCGATGAATGCTCGGCGGTTACGGTCACGGTAGTCGCAGCAACGTAAATGGGGGCGCATGGAGGGTCAGAAATCGTCTCTCTTCCAAGCTTCTGGATATAGCTGCATGGAAATATCATCTGTCGGACGGATGCCTGCCCATTCCTCCTGCCTGGGAGGTAAATGGCAGCCTTGTTTATGGGCTGACGGCCAGAATACGGGAGCACCGTACACATTGGTGGCAATGGCAGCAGCGCCAACCAAAGTTCAAGGTAAGGTCCTGACTAATCGCGAGACAGAGGCGAATGAATAAATGGATACGAGCTGTTCCCAGCCAATGATGATGGCTTCACGCTTGGAATGCGTGCGGTTTGTCTGTGTAATAACTTGTGCTGTATTTGTCACCCTATTGAATGATGGAACGGAAGAGCGTTGTTGACTTGATATTTCCTGGTCATTATCTCTCTGGTTTTTTGACCAGAGGGCAAGCATGATCGCGGTAGTCGTGTCCGCGAGTGCCGAAATGATGGGCATATCCTGGAGAGGCACATAGCTAAAGGCAGGGCCTTGGACGTAATCTTTCGCGTCCACAAAGTGTCGTCTGTTATGACAAAAGATTGAGGTACTTGCTGCCGGTTTTCACCTTCGTTCAGGACCGCAGCGTGCCTGTAGATGCCCACTTCGGTCAGAATGAGAATATGAATCGCACACAGCCACTACATAACACCTACTTCCCATTACCATAACCTCAATTGTTTGAGCTTCTTATCTAGAGGCAACACTCTGGGTCCTCAGACCATGCCTACCTTCTAGTTCCTAAGATAATACTATAACAAGATACCTACCTACCTACCTAGGTACCTAGGTAGGTATGTTGACGCATGCTGGATGCGGCGATAAGATCCCCCACCCCCACTAACCATCCCCTGCAGACACTGTCGTCAGACCCTGGGCCCCTTATTAATCTGCATCACAGGCCTCCACATGCACAAACTCTTCCACCCCAAGTCCATCCAAAAGGTACATGCCTTGACCCCAGCATCAACCCAGCGCCATATCCACCATCGTCGAAATAACACACTCAGCCATTGCGCGAAGTCGCATCTACAGGCATGTCGCAGCGCTCTACCTAAACGATGTGGAGCTCCGCGACTTGTCACATCCAGCGCGGATCCCCGGCAAGCTTCGTCCGTCTCGCTCGACATCAAGCATTTCGTCGCCATGCGCTGCGGGCACACACGAGATGCCTGGCTACCGTCGCCAAGAACATATCCTCTGGAAAGAACAAGAGCTTAGCCCGTACGTGCCGTCTTTGCCACATTCCCCGCGCATCCTTCTCCTCGTCTCACTAACTCTTATCACTCTCTCTAGTCCAATCCGAAGCACGCTTCAGTGAGATCGGTGTCCAGCACTTGAGTGCTCATGTCTTCAAACAACTCTTTCCCGATGGGTGCAAGCCCCCTCCAGAGCAGCTCGTAGAGCTGTCCAAGGATCATCTGCGCCGGCATGACTTACTAGGCAAGAATACCGACAGCTCCGAGCCTATAGCTTTCGATCTACCCCCGCTACAGGGACGCACGCTTGATGAACATTTCTTCAAGCTCGGTACAGATTGTGCTGAACCCTTCCTTGGATATGCGAAGCAATTTGCGCGAGCGAACCCTCCTCCTAAACCGCGAAAATGGGTTAGGCGCAGCGGTTGGACGAAATACTACCCGGACGGCAGGACCGAGCAGGTTGATGCGCCGGATGAAAACATGCTGTGTTTTGATACTGAGGTCATGTGGAAGGACAACCCCTTTGCTGTCATGGCTTGTGCTGTGAGCCCTACGGCTTGGTATGCCTGGCTATCACCCTGGTTATTGGGCGAGACGACGAACGAGAAGCAGCTGATCCCACTGGGCGACCCGGGTAAGGACAGGATTGTTGTTGGGCACAATATCGGTTTCGATCGAGCGCGCATCCTGGAGGAGTACGATTTAAAGCAGAGCCGAAACGCCTTCCTGGACACCATGTCGCTGCACGTTGCAGTCAACGGCATGTGCTCCCAACAGCGACCAACCTGGATGAAGCATAAGAAGAACCGGGAGCTCCGAGAACGTGTTGCTAGCCAGACGGAGGATCACGCCTTTGCAGAATTATTGAGCAGCCAAGGTGCTCATGATGAAGAGGAACTTTGGGTGGAGAGGAGCTCTGTCAATTCTCTTCGAGATGTCGCAAAATTTCATCTCAACGTGTCCCTCGACAAGGCTGTGAGAGATGATTTTGCGGAGCTCGACCGCAGCGGAATTCTGGCCAAGCTGGACGAGCTAATGGATTACTGCGCCGCGGACGTTTCAATCACCCACCGAGTCTATCAAGTGGTCTTCCCGAATTTCCTCGAAGTCTGTCCTCACCCGGTCAGCTTTGCTGCGCTACGTCATCTGTCATCAGTCATTCTCCCGACTAATAAGTCTTGGGATTCATACATTGCAAACGCCGAGGCCACATACCAAAGGCTGAACGAGGCGGTTCTGGAGAGGTTAATAGGGCTTACGGACAAAGCATTGGAAGTAAAGGAGAAACCGGATGTCTGGCAAAACGACCCGTGGATGAAGCAGCTGGATTGGTCTGGCCAAGAAATCAAAATGGTAAAGGGGAAACGAAAGAACGACCCGCCCAGACCTGCAGCAAGACAGAAGAAGCCGGGGATGCCAAAGTGGTACAAGGACTTGTTTGCCAAAAACGACGCCCCGATCAATATCACAGTCCGAACGAGGATTGCGCCGCTACTCCTAAAGTTAGCGTGGGATGGCTATCCGTTATTCTGGTCGGACAAGTACGGCTGGACCTTCAGAGTTCCTAAATCGGAGGCCGCCAGGTACGTCGAAAAACAAATGATCCGATGCGAATTCGATGAATCCGAACTGGCGTTGCGGGACGACTGGGGCCATGCATATTTCAAGCTTCCACACAAAGATGGTCCTTCTGCTAGATGCGCGAATCCGATGGCAAAGGGATATCTCAATTACTTTGAAAATGGCACATTATCATCGGAATACCCGTACGCCAAGGAAGCTCTGGAGATGAATGCGTCCTGCTCCTACTGGATCAGTGCACGAGACCGCATCATGTCGCAAATGGTAGTGTACGATGAAGACCTACCAGTTAAAAAGCCAATTACTGCCAAACGGGGCCGGAAGAGCAAGAAGACTATAGAGGCAGAGAAGCTAGGCCGAGGGTACATCTTGCCACAGGTTATCCCAATGGGTACGATCACGAGAAGAGCAGTCGAGAACACTTGGCTCACTGCAAGCAATGCGAAGAAGAACCGAGTAGGGTCGGAGCTAAAAGCAATGGTCAAGGCTCCTGATGGATACTGCTTCGTCGGGGCCGATGTAGACTCTGAAGAGCTTTGGATTGCGAGCTTAGTGGGTGATGCGACCTTCAAGCTCCACGGAGGCAATGCAGTCGGTTTTATGACTTTGGAGGGAACCAAAGCGGCTGGAACAGATCTCCACTCGCGCACCGCATCGATCCTGGGTATCACTCGAAACGATGCCAAGGTGTTCAATTATGGGCGCATCTACGGTGCCGGATTGAAGTTCGCCGCAACCCTCCTCAGACAATTCAACCCGGGGCTCTCTGAGAAGGAAACGATGGAGACGGCGTCGAAGCTCTACGCAACGACCAAAGGCACAAAGACCACACGAAAGGTCATCCATAAAAAGCCTTTCTGGCGTGGTGGCACCGAGTCTTTCGTTTTCAACAAGCTCGAAGAGTTTGCCGAGCAGGAAACACCCAGAACGCCTGTGCTCGGCGCTGGTATCACCGAGGCGCTCATGGGCCGCTTTGTCAACAAGGGAGGCTACCTCACGTCTCGAATTAACTGGGCAATCCAATCCTCTGGCGTAGACTATCTTCATCTTCTCGTTGTGGCTATGGATTATCTCATCCGCCGGTTCAATATCGATGCACGAGTATCCATCACTGTGCACGATGAGATTCGCTACCTAGTCAAGGATGAAGACAAGTACCGTGCCAGCATGGCTCTTCAGGTGGCCAACGTCTGGACACGTGCCATGTTCGCCCAGCAGGTCGGCATTGACGACCTTCCCCAGTCGTGCGCCTACTTCTCAGCTGTCGATATCGATCACGTTCTGCGCAAAGAGGTGGACATGGAGTGCATAACTCCAAGTCACGCCGATCCCATTGCCCCGGGAGAGAGTCTCGATATCGCTACCCTCCTAGAAAAGGGAAACGAGGCCAGATTGGATCCAGCCGTTGTTCCTAATGCGCCACATGCACCAAACCTTGACGGTATCGAGTACACGCCACGAGTCCCCGTAATGAAGGCGATCCAAGATGCCTCTGGCGAGAGCGCAGACTTTATCAAAGCGCAGATCATCAATGATGAACAGGAGCTCAAGGACATGGTCAGGGACAAGCGCAAAATAGAACTTGCATTAGCTCCCAAGAAACCAACGCCTGCCATGAGCAAGAAGTCTCTCCGGTCCGTGCTACCGTACCGTGCGCATCCACACCTGGTTCCAATGGACGAGCCCATATCTGTATCAGAAGCCTTGCGCACAAAGTTGACCGGGAATGGATACGATCCCAAAGCCAAGTGGCAATGGACACGAAGCTCGCCCAAGGGTTCAAGAGCAAGCTCCAGAATTTAAGCCTTTGACAGGCAAAAATAACATTTCCTTACTGTCTGTACATTATCGATCCTAATATCTTTATTCAAAGCGAGGCCCACGGAGGGTCCGTGGGGGGGCATGTATCATTATGTAAGTATGACCGGACGAACACCTTATGTCTATTGCATTGGCTGGCTGGCTGGTTCGGATATCTCGGGCTGTGTGGTGTTGGGGATGGAATCGACTCTTCCCGGCGTTTTTGGATCAAGCAACCATTCATATTCTGAACACATATACCACTGTGTGTACGCGTGTACACAATGTACAAGGGAAATACGAGAAAATCCAATGTACGTATCTAACTTAGTTAATTAATAATCACCATCGGCTAGGTTGTGAAAGGTGGCAAGCTGATTTCCCCGTCGTCCCGTGGAGCGTCGTTTCATCTGTGTTCCCCGTCAGGGATCGCCGTTACAACCTCGAGTAACCTACCGCATCCATCTTCCGCATGAACAGAGCCTCTCGTAGGCTCTGGCGAGGGGCGGGTTCACCGGCGCGGAATGCGCGGTGCCGGCCATTACCGTGTAGATCCCCGGAGCCTAGCTATTGAGAGTACGACTCTACCGTCTCGACCCATGAGATCCGGTCGTAAGAGACCAATCCTCGTATTCCAGATCGAGTCATCCCGGCCGTCAGCCTGCTCCTGCCCACTGCTTTGATAAACAACGCCGCCTCGCCCGGAAGTGATGGATGAGGAGCTCCTTCTCGCTGATTCACAGCCACAAGCATTCGTCACCTCAATACGCAGGCGTATCGCCAGCACCAACTCCCGGGTGTCAACCCCCCGGCCCATCCTCCCTCTCCAACTTGTCATGATCGCAGTCCAGCACCTCCGCAGACTCATCAACAGAATCCTACTCAGAAAGGTCCGCAAGCGCCACAGACACCGCTCCCCCTTCAACATCAACCTGCCCCTCCTCCTCCTGCACAGAAGAAGAAGAATCCCCCGCCAACCGGCCGGACCAGCCTCCTCCTCCAGGATGGCCACCTACACCTACTACGAGTGCCTGCTCCACGAGCCGGGGCAGGCCATCATCTTCGTGGACCACGGGGGCGGGCAGGGCTCGGTGCTGCACGTGCACATGGACGGGAGCAGCCTGCACTACTCGGCGCCGCGGCGGGCGTACGCGGCCATCGAGGAGCACGTCAGGGACAGGAGGGCGGTCGGGACGGTGCCCGCGGAGGGCGGGGACGAGCGGGTGCGGGAGGTGGCGGGCCGGCTGGCGCTGCCGAGGCGAGGAGGGGTGGAGGAGTGGCTCGGGGAGGTGAGGGGCCAGCTGGTTGAGGAGAATGTCTTGTCTGCTTCTGGTGGGGGGTGTGCTGGTGTGTAAGGGACTGTGTTGTTGTCATGGAGAAGAGAGGCGGATTTGGTTTGGGTTTTTGGTGGTGGGAAGGGGATATACCAGAGGACGGGGTTGATGAAGGCGGGGAATTTGGTGGATGGGCGTCTACAATGACTGATGTTGGTCTTTTTTCTTGTTTTTTTTGGAGGTTTGTCTTATTATGAGTTTTCATCGCATGGGGGAATACTTGCCATGTTTGGGTGAGAAGCCTTGGCTGGGCAGCAGATAATAATTGCATGATATAAATGACCGTTGCTTTCGAGCACAGCTCCAGCTGAACGTGGCAGTTATGAGTACGCCGTGTGTCCCTTTGTATGGCTCCCTCGTCCAGATGAAGTGAATATGTGGCCGCCAGATGAGGATGTTCTTCTTGCAAACTCGGCCGCGGCTCTGGAATGACTTTGATTCTCCAGGGGGACAAACTTGCGTCTCCTATTATCTCAATGCGGTATACCTAAGGATGTTTGGAGATGGGAAACCTTGCTTCCCAGCCTGGCTCCTCCCCATACTCACCATGGCAACTCAACGACTGGAAGTTTAGAAGCCGCCCTCAAAATCACCAGGGCATGCCGGAGATCTGACCGACGGCGGAACCTTCGACGAGTTGCAAGTAGCCAGAGTCCGTCCGAAGCTGGTGGTCTTGAGAATATTCACGCGGGACATGGGCGGCAGGAGGTTGTATACTATGGAGTTGAAAGGCACTATCAAAAGATCATGGCAAGCGATGGGCAGCTGTGCAGTGTGTTTCTCATGGCAGTCTATCTACTTATATCCTGGTTCGAGCACATGCTGTGCTTGGTTCCCCCATTTTGAGTGTCTAAGGAACCTGCAAAGACAATCGTGGTAAACGCAGCTGTGGTGGTGCACAGAACGAAGCCCAGCCAGCCATCACTGTCGAATGTAGGCCTTGGCTAGAGACAATAGGGGATATACTTGCATTAGAGTTATTTTGTACCACTACCTTAAATTAGTTAGCTGGCTTATTTCCAAGCTAGAGAGGATCATGAGCTTTGAACGGGGGCGGTTCGTCGCCGCCTTGAATCGATGATGGACCTGAATTCTTTCTCCATGGCGCAGCTGAAAGGAACGGTGCCTGGGGTGAAACAATCTGTGTCAAATGACTTTCTTACGCTCCTCCCCTATTCTCCGCGCCCGCAAGAGTAGGCCTAGTTGTCTCGCAGATGCTTTGGATTTTCTCCTCACAAAGGACAGCGGTAGGTTTCACTAGGGCGTGCCCATTATGCACCCCATCCTAGCCGTCGTGCCTCGTGCGCTGCATGATTACAATCCGACACGGATATATCTTGGCAATATAGACCAATATCCTATCAAATTTGGAAACAATCGGGTCTCTGGCTGCATCGAGGTAAAAAGCTAGGTACTTAGGTAGATGAATTCCGGATGGTGAGTCCAGGGTAGCCTGTCCCGCAGGAGGGGAACGTGCATTAGCACAAAGCTTGTGTGCGGCGGTTGGTGGCGGTTGGTGGGGGCGGGGTCCAGCCATGACGAAACATCGCAGACAAAGCACAGCCCAAGCACCAGCAGCAGGTCATCCCACCCGCCAGCTCCCCTGCTCGCATCATTCCACCACACCCTCCGTCATCTCCAGCTCTCTTCTCCCCTCTCTCCCCTCTTCCCCCTCTCTCATCACCATCACTGTCCAGTCTGTCCCACCGCCAAAGCATCGTTCGGAATGGCCCCCACCGAAGAGGTCGTGCAGAGGCTCAAGGAGTCGCGGCCACCGGCCACCGACGCCTTTACGTACCTCACCATCATTGAGAAGTCCTTGTCCCCAGACATTCTGCCTACCTTGGAAGAGATACTCGATGATTCCGAGCTCACCAATGACATTGGCTGGGACTTGGTTGACATGCTTATTTCTGTCCCTGGCAGTGCTGGATGTCTGGAGAGAGTTGCCCGCCTGGGCAATCCCCGGGAAGTCATTCTGAAGGTGCTGGAGGTGATGGACAAGACAGCCGCAGCCGCTATCAAGGAGAATGAGCAAGAGGAGGACGGCAAGGAGGTCCAGCCTCATTCGGGAGTACATGGCGCCGACAAGTTCATTGCCCTCGTGGGCATGCTGAAGATCCTGCATGGGCGTCTGCAAGTGCGATCGCCCTCTCGATTTCTCCACACGACACTCGATACCGTCCTTCGCGCATACGACCCGACGAGCCCTGAGTCCACCGTCGCCGTGATTGACTTTGTTCGGTCGCTTTCTTCGAGCAAGCGGCCGCCGCTCCCCACCCGCCAGTCGAGCACGATGCTCGAGACTCCCTTTCAATCGACCGACCCTTCGCAAACCGCACCTGATCCAGAGGCCGATGATTCAGACAAGATGAACCCCTCTGAACCTAAGCTTATCAATCGTCTGCTGCAGTCTTTCATTACATGCATAATTGAGACATACGTGAATTCAAACAGCTTGGAATGGGCTTCGAGACTTCTCGAATACACCTACCCCGAGAAAGTGGTATTGAGTCGCAGATCCATGACAAAGTCTTTCAACGAGGTGGCTGAGCTGAAAGCAATGGACGCCCTTGTCGGACAGCTGGCCGTATGTTCTCAAACGTTGAACGAGACAGATGTGATTTTGAAACCGACTAACACCCCCACAGTCAGTTGCCGACGATTTGGGTCTGTCAAAACTCCCAGTTGAGGAGGTGCATCAGATATTCGCCTCTGAGCCCAGCCGAGAACCCTTGTCTGTCGATGATACGGACGCCGACCATCCCGAAAATGTCCAATTGTCAACTGCGGGCCTAGCTTGCTTGGCCGCCTACTGGATGGTCACTACTGATGTCTTCGACGCCCAACACGAGAATGTCAAAATGAACATATTCCCCCATCACCAAGAACTCCTCCAGAATTTCATTGGAGATGATGCCCAGGTGGAGATCATGGGCAACCCAGGCACTTTCGAGGCCCTTACTGTGATTGCGGTCTGGCTTGACGCACACCAGGGCATCTTCCCAACAAATGGAGAAAAGGATGCTGCTGCAAACATTAATGTGATGAAGTATCATCACTTGGTAACTCTTATTTCCGTATTCCACCCCAACATCCGGGTGCGCAATACTGCTACGACACTGGCAGGCTCTGTCCTCCACACTGATCCAGATGAAAACAGCCGATTGACAATCCTCGAAGATCTAATGGAAAACTGCATATTTTCTGCATTACAAGCGTGTGCTGTCACCTGGCTACGCGAGGAAATCATTGCGGCACGAAAGCCAGGGGCACCCAAGAGCATATTTGGCAGTAGCGACTGCTTTGAAAAGCTCCAGTACACAGTCTTCCCAGACTTGACATCACTCAATAGCCTGGATAGCTCTGAGCTATGGTCCTTCTGGGCCCAGAACTCGGCTTTCCACTTTCAGGTGACAAACTTTGCCCTGTTCTTGTTTAGTGGCAAAGACTTCAATGATGTCGCTCCGGCGGGCATGGCAGCTGCCGTGGAACACCGGTATGTGACCCCTCTAATCCAGGCTACCGAAGCTCTGTCGTCAGCACTGGACAAGAAGGAGATTGAAGACACAGAGGTATCTGGCTTGGGAGCCAAAATGCAGTTGGAAATCCTCACGGACACTCTGAAGAGAATCCCTCTCCAGTAACGGGTTTATTCCCTTCACTCCATGCCCCCCTCCCCTCCATTTTCTACTATTCTTTCGGCCGGTCTCTACCTCAACTTGTGAGAAAAGGAATGTGATCAGAGTTTCGTTTTGGTCAGGATGATGCGGCTGGGTTTTCAGTTGCGATAAGTTATGTCATAGGAAAGGTGCCATTTTGCTTGCGGGGTTTGGTCTTATAACACACGATGTACGGATAATGTAAGCATCTAGGCGAGTGAAAGCAGGTCTTGAAACACGCGAAATTTACGTCGACTCTTCTAGCGGTGATAATTGCTTACCCAAGGCTTGCCCTGGACTTAACTGTACCATCATCCGGCGCGTTAAGTCCGCACGGTCGGCGTCTCGCAACTCTTAGCATGTGCGAACTATCGAGACGAGTATCGTGAATACCTTCTCTTCGGACTTGCCTAGGGAAGCCGAAGCCCGTAGTCCTCATGTGGATTGGAATGCGGGTGCATCGGAACAGGCAGAAGGTCAGGCGACTAGTCCCCAGCGCAAAGTTAGTCTTCACAGCGATGGGCCTGTTGCTCACCTTTGGTCCCGGGCTTCCGTAAACCTTTACTTAGGAATCGAAAGCGTTTCTGGAGACCGTCCGGCCCGGTGGAAGCTTTGTTAGTGTGCGGGTTGAGTGCTGAGTCACGGACTAGCGAACCGCTTTGTAAGTTGGGCGCAAGGACATAATTAATGCAAGGTGTCTGAAGATGAGCTCCAACCTGGTTTCAAGCCAGGCAATAGAATATTCTGGCATCTACCTAGTTGGCATTTTAATGAGGAAAATGGTTCATGTGACTGCAATTGTCGGTGTCGGCTCATCGGAGCCTATCTGAATCGTAGGTTAGTAGATCAGATGCAGGGCAGGGCAGGTGCTGCTGGCAAGTGGTTGGGCGGACTTGCCTTGGCGGGGGGCCGGGAGTCCAGACTGGTGATGTCACTTGTCGAATAGATGGGCGACACAAGACAGGTGCGACTCAGTGTCAGGTATTTGGCATTTGACACCTGCCTGGTATAAAGCGCCTACCTCGTAGTCCATGATGCAAGAAAAACACGTCGCCTTTGTCTTCTCGTCATTTCTACACCGAAAGATGACTATGAATGGCTATTGACGGCTCCCTCGTGGCATGAAATAAGCTTCATGCTCGGGAGTGCTGGTTCTTCCTTATTCAACTGACTTACACAATTGATTAATTATTGGTAACCACCACATTCCGGCCATTTTCGACTTTGGGCACAAAACACTCCACGCGAGTCTGCCGCCCCATTGCCTACACGTGTAGGCTAGTATTTCATTGGGTCGACACACCACAAGCATGGGGCACTCTGATGACGGTCGCGACAATGGCGATCATGTGTCGATTT